CCCGTGTCCACCGCTCCGCGACGCCCACCACGCTGGCTCGAATTAGTTTCGTTTTCTGACTAGAAACGGACCCAGAGCTGTTCCGCGCGTCCTGGCGCGTGTGTCGCGTGTGCGCGTCTTGCTCACTCTTGGTGTGCGTGTGTGGTCATGATGGACGACGGGAGGACCAGCAAGCTTTTTTCTGCCGCTCAACAAAATGTCGAAAGTGTGACCGCTTGGCTTGAGCGTAATCCACGCGTTAGGTGCCACGGTGCGAAGCGCTTGCTCATAGCTGTTGACCACGTAACAGCCAACTTGCCTCTTTGGGCGTCCCGGTATTCAGCTGTGGAGGTGGTGAATATTTCGTGGGCGGCGGCGACGGCTACATGCGTGCGAAACTGTTTGCGTGAGGCCGAGTTCGTCGACGTCAAACCCGATTTGTGGCAGCGCGCCGTCGACTCCAACATGGGAGCGCAGGTGGAACATTTGTTGCGACAGTCTGATGATGCCGACACCACGACACCGTGCATGAATTAGGGCATTGTGTATAAAGTACAGGGCAAGAGCGATTTGGAGGAATCGAATTGCGAGAATGACGAAACTTCGGAGCCCCTCCCTCACGCAGCTTATGCCACGGGCTTCGGCGAGCGAGCCACGCTGCTGTTTGAAATAAACTAGAGACTGCTCTTATCGCTTCTGCTTTTCGAAACACGTGCATCATGGACTTTTTGGGGCGAAAAAAAAGTTAGCGTTTCCATTAGCAACTTTTTAAAAAGCTGCTTCATTTACTATGAACTTCGGAATACAGCGAACGGATGGCGCGTCAGACTCAGGTTCGTCATAAGCGGGCTCGCCTGTATATATATGTGACGTATGAAGTGATGGTAGATAGAAGCCGATGAAGAAGAAGTCACAATGGAATAAACAAGGCGTATGAGCCAGGCCACGTCTCCCATTCATCATAGCGTTACACGAGTCGACAGGATGAAGACCTCGCAACCACTTCATCGCCCGGCCATCATCATCGAAGACCTCAGCGAGACGCAGTGACCGGACGCGGATCACAGAAAAACGCGGACCACCAAGACCACCAAGCATCATGACAGCAGCATCAGACGACCTTGACATCCCTAAGTACACTGGATCAGCGGACGACGGACCCGTACAGGACTGGTTCAACCTGTTCGAGCTCCATGCCGCCGCTGCATCTTGGTCGGAACGGGAGATGGCTACAAGCTTCAGCGACTACGTCACTGGTGAGGCATTCAAATTTTACCTGATTCACATATTCGAGAACGACGAGTCATGGCAAAAAATCGAAGAGGAGATGATTACCCGTTTTAATGATTATGACCAAGACTTACTCATTGCCAACCATCTAGAGACAACTGCAGACTATCGTCAATTTTCTAAACAGTCCTCAAGCATTCGAAAGTCCAGCGCGAATCGACAAGTGCCTCAAGACGAAGTGGCACATGCGTTTACTTACAGAAGGCCATGCATACATTGGGAAAAACCCAATCGTCAAGCGCGTCTCCCTTGTACACGAAAGTCGGCATTTCCGAAGTCATCACTTCAGCATATGACACGAGACGTTGCTGAACCACCTGATGCCCTGCACTCTTCGTCTCGCATACGTGGTCCACCACCTGAGTTTTCGTCACTCGGTTTTTCAAGCGCTCATATCGCTCACCATTCGCCTCATAAGGACACTGCGACCTCGGTAGACGACCTAACGCTTCACGAAAATACCCTGTCAAGCCAGGCTCTTTCCGGACATGTTCATTCATCACCGTGCGGTGCACACACAATGGACAGTCGAAGCAAAGCAGAAGGCTCAGACGCATCGAACGCCGCAAGCTACCAGGCACAAGAACTACTCGCAGTGAACTGCGAAGAAGCCCCTGAAGAACTTCATGTCATCTCTGCGGCACCACAGACTTGCCAAAATCTGCAGTTAAAACCTGGTAATGCCACGTCACCTGTGGTATCCCCATACAGTGCTTACAGCTCCAAGAACCGAAAAAATGCAGAAGTAATACATACACCAAACCTCGCACGCAGCTTTCTGCCCGAAGCGTCCATACTGGAACACCTTACCGAAGTCTTTGAAGAGCATAATGATGGCACATTACCAACTATGCCCGATAAGCAAGACACCAGCTCACCATGCATCAGCTGTCTACAGGACGCGTCAAACCTCGAAGGAAATGAATGCCCGATTCCAGAAGGGGCGCCACTACAGCCATCTCTTGAGCAGCACCAGCAAAGCAAGCAAAACGAAGTTCACGAACTCAGAAAACAATGAGAGAGACTGCAACGAGGGCATCGGCGAACGCCAAATTCAATGGAAGCGCATTCATCAGTTGAAGAACATTGAAAAATAAGATCTCCAAACCAACAAGACGTCAGACACTTTCAGACAAAGAAAAGTCGCCACAAACGCTTCCAGCGCCTGCTATTCCGTCTACTGCAACACCACAGAAAGCGCCGAGAAAGACGCGGAAGCACTGCTTGCAAACCGCAAGCACTCAGGCACTCCATCACAGCCTGTCGAGAAGCACGCAAGCAAGAAGCATCGGAATTGCACCATTCACGGCGAAAAATACAACCCCGACGACACCCGAGCTGCCGATGCAACAAGGCGTTCCAACCTTGGTCAGCCCGAACAAGAGTTCTAGCAGTACTGTCAGTATCCACATGTATACCGCTCTGTCCGGAACGCAACAGTCAGCCTCGCCCACCAGAGTTGTTATAGAGTTCACCGGACTGCTCCCTCGGGCTTGAAGATTTAAAGAGACTGTGGAACTCTGTCGGGACGTGATACTGTGAATTTGGACATTGTCTGTTTATTGGCTTCTTCAATTTTTCGTAGGTTATAAACGGTGCCATTTTTCGGGGGGGGGGGGGGGGAAGGGGGAATCGTGTGACGTATGAAGTGATGGTAGATAGAAGCCGATGAAGAAGAAGTCACAATGGAATAAACAAGGTGTATGAACCAGGCCACGTCTCCCATTCCTCACAGCGTCACACACACACACACACACACACACACACACACACACACACACACACACACACACACACACACACACACACACACACACACACACACACACACACACATATATATATATATATTAAATCTGGGTGTTACCCTAACCAGAATGAAGACGAAATAAATATATTGTGCATGGGCAAGATATATGCTGGTGATCAGCAGAACTGACTGGATTCCAAGAGAAAGCAAACATGCCAGGGAGGGACCGAAATTTGGGTAGATAGATGAGGTTAAGAAGTTTGTGGGTATAATATTGGAGTAGCGAGAACTGGACAGGATTATATAGAGGAATAGAGGAGAGGCTTTTGCCCTGCACGGGCGTTGTAAGGCCAATGATGATAATCATTGCGTTGACTGTTTCCGTTTTTGGTTTGCAGTTTTTTCCTAACTACAGATTACCGGGAAAGAGAGTGCTCAATTTCGGCACTAAGGGAGGTCACTGATCTCTTTTTTGTGAAATGCTCTGTTAACTTACTCGACGTATGGGATACCATGTGACTTAGAACTGAAAGATAAAGCAGATAAATGAAACTCGCATAAGCCTAGTTGACATGGGTACAACAAATCTGCCCTTTTCAAGACAGATGTGTCTCATTATGGCTGTCCACTAATTCAGTTTTCACTTTTTGATGTTGCACACCTGCTGCACTACGCGCTTGGCGAACTCTACTATTGTCGGGATTGAACATCTTGCAGTCAAATATGACTGAATTAATTCGAATTAGATGTCACTGAACAAAGCATGAGCTTGCGGGGACCAGAGAACACATCTAAATTATACAATGTTCTAACATTATTAATACTAATAGTAATAATACAAAGTAAGGCTGGGTTCTGGATTCGATATTGCAGAACTCCTACAAAACACTGGTGTGAGCAAATACGACTGCTCCGGAAAGATGTGCTATATTCACACAGTCTCTTTGCATTTAAAGCGCGCTGATGTTTGCTGAGATGGCACGCGCCTAAAATCAAAGTTCACTGTTGCTAATCGAGCAACCTCCATTCCGTCCACCGTTTTTTTTTTCATGCTCGTTCAAGACGGGTCATTTTCCTTCTGTTTCAGCATTCGAAGGAAGCTCTAACACTTGCAGCGGTGTTATCTTATGCGCCCTACAGGCGATAGAGATGGGCCGGCTCATTTGATCTCTGCTTCAGCAGCGCTTGTGTGCTTTTGCCCACTTCTAAAAGTTACAATGCACAGAGACATGTTATCAATTTGGACTTGTTACGAAACATGGCGGCGACAGCAAAAACCTGTCGAGGGTTTCCATATAATTGCTATCCCAATAATAACGTAGTATTTATTGCTAAGTAACTGTTTTGAGCTAGCTCCCACTCAAGTTTCCTATTTGTTTAACTTGTGCATTTAGTTTGTGAATCTTATACTGAACCTGCCAATAACGAAATCCTTTTTATAACAAATTTTTCCAGAAATTTGTCAATTTCGTTAAATCCAGGTTCAACTGTGGAGCAGTTTTGTCAGAGAAGAATAATATGAACAAAAAACCTCACTGAACTGTAGGCACAGTCTAGTTGATTTGGCTGCAGTAGGAAATCTGCACACAACCACACAAAGACATTAAAAAACAGTCCTTGTGAACTTTTTCATTTTTTTTTCTATGGCATGCGCAAGTTTTCCTTTACACTCATTAGATTGACAACACACATAGACATCATTTGAGTCAATGTGTATACCTGGGCAGACCAGAAATGCGTAATTTCAATGAGATTTAATATGAATGCTATTTATGGCAAATGACCTAACCTACATCGAATAACAGCGGCATCAGTCAAAGCGAAAAATCATTAAGTACTTGTTGAGTCTAAAAGAATGTGGTGACCTTTTACTGTCTCTACCATTGCTCACTGCTGTCCTTGTAGTTTACGACACATCTCTCAACAGATGAATGCCCTATTAAAGGAGAGAGCACAGACCGAGTGGCGGCCAGACCCTCACCGGCAGGAGGCAAGAGAAGTCCTCACTTGAGCGGGCCACTAGCCATGTCCCGTGCCCGGTATTGTGTCTTGCCATGAGTCCACGGCAGGTACCGGTACTTCAGCATGTGCTGCATCAAAGAGTGCCAAAACATTTCTTTTTAGCATTGCTGTTCAATTACACAGTGCACCACTTACAGCCTCAACAACCTAACCAAATATAAAAAACAAAAAATAAACTACAAATGTGTGAAACATGCGACTCATGCCATTGCACACAACTGAACAGGAAACCACCCTTTGTTAGGAACATCGAAAGGTTGCCAATGGCTTCACATGAAGTAAACAAAACAACACAGGAAAAAAAAACCTGTAGAGGGAACAGCCACGCCAGTTGATTACTTGGACTACTTATTCGCATTCCTATGCACTGTCCTGTACTCCTGAGCAGTGTTGTCAGTTCTCAGAAAGCAATAACCAAGCCACAGCATGAGGAGACTGCAGCGTGACCACTCTTTGCTGAAACCAAACCACTGTCCTCTATTAAAGTCCATACAAACCCTCGTCACCTAGATGGAGATGCCAACGGCCAAAATATTAAAGGGACCTACAACTGATTGTTTTCAAAGCATTTTTTTTTCCCGGCACGACAAACGCTTACCCTTCATAATGTTTGTAGCTGCAGTAGTTAATCCCAAAAGCACGTAGTCATTTTATAAGCCCTACTTTTTTTATCTGACAGGCTCCGAACACAGACGTGCCCTTTCATCCAGCAATGCTAAGAACTGATAGCTATGCCGTAGCCTTTCTGGCAACTTGTGCATGCTGTTGTTGCTCTGCTTTCACAGGAGTTCCTGCAATTATGCTTAAGCATGTTTATTCCGAGCTTTACAACTATTTTTGAAAATAAGAAGCCATTACAATGAGACGACGTGAGACACTGCGACTCAGTAGGGCATAATTTATTTTTTGAAACAATTTGTGACCAGTGGCGTACCAACTCGTTCAGGAGTGGGGGGCGCAAACCTACCTCACTCGTCAGCCGGGACACCACACACAAATACCTATATATATAATTGAACAAAGGCGTTCCGGCGCAGCATGTCTTTAATGAATTGTATGGTTCGTCGCAGAACGTCGGGGGCAACAGTCGAGTAGGTACAAGCGCCGCGATGCACCAACCACGAACGTAGTTTTTCTGCCTGAGAGTGGTCCCCATTACCTTTTAGAACAGCGCTGATCTTCTTCATTACATTTATCTCTCCTCCTGAAAAAGAGCCATCCTGGCGACTTATAGACAGGAGACTACAGTAGGGTCGTAGTAAGGCTTGAGCCGGTTTACATGCACTGTCTCACGTCCGCGGCGTAGTTGATCAGCAGACGTTGCAAGCGGTTCAACGTTATAATTGACTGGTGATGATTGCTGGACTATGCGGTAACGGCCATGGTATTTCGAAACAAATTTTGATGATTGGCCCGGGCTGGTGGAAGGGATCCAGAGCGACACAAGTGAACCAGGAACATGACGCAAGAGCCTCCGAGCTGCCTCGATGGTGTTTTTGACGTTGTTGATCAAACGTGGTGCGGAATCGAGCAAGCTGGGGACACTCTCCACGTACTTAGCCGCTTCGGAAATGGTTGTCGACTCAGTTGCGTCAGGACGGTATGGAAAAATGGTGTCGAGCATGCAGGAGGGCTCGTCGCGCCCATAAAGTAGACAGTATAGGGAGAATCCCGTGGTGGTCTGAGTTGCAGTATTGTGTGCGAACATCACGAAGGTGAGAACGTGGTCCAAGTTTGAGTGAGCGTAATCAACGTACATTGCCAGCATATCACCCAGTGTTCGATTAAATCGTTCTGCCAGGCCATTAGCCCCTCAAAAATAAGAGAATAAACTATTTTCAATATGGCATATTATCTGCCCTTAGTTCTCCGGCATTTAAAATTTTCTGGATGTCATGAAATTACTTGCTTATTATATGACGTAACAAAGCCGGAGAGAATCTCCTTCTAAATATAATTCAAGTAGGCTAGCTGCCAATCTCATAAGCTGTGGCTACATATAGCAACTGGCGAGATGGGTTATGAGTTCAATAAAATATTGCCACATGCAGCACAATGATGTTTAGTAGTTTGTGCATGTATACATACACCTCTGTGAGCTCGTACTTCCTGAGAGAAAGAGAAATACAGAGAAATAGGCAGTGCTGCATGTGTGTGCTTTTTTGCTGTCCAAGATGTATTTAGAGCTGTAAAAGTCAATTTAAGTCGAGTGAAAACCAACTACACTGATTCCCAACTAAGCCTACATAGTGCTAAAAACCATGGTATTTAACCTTCTCCCTAGTCAAGTGGGTCAAGTTGTGAGCCATGCTTAAAAGCTGAGCTTCCTACTGAGCTCGAGTCCACTGCTTTATTCGTGGCCACTTTGCAAGCTGCCCCTATGGCTCCAAGTTACCATAAGCAAGGCTGATAAGGTTTATCATAGACTAAAGCAGAAAGAATGTTTGGCCTTTCAGTACGGAAAAACTTAAAGATAAAAAATAATTCGTGACACTCATCGGCTTTAAACAGCTTCGACAGAGCAGCGGTGATGGTAAACCCTTTTCAAAGAAAATTATTTTCCGGTTTTTACGGAAGCAGCAAATGCTTTGACCGGTCCATAAACAGTTTGCTTGTTCTTCTCAGTAACTGCATCAACAAGTCACAGCAGAATAAAAGCATAAACAAGTGATGTAATAGTATAGGGCCCCTGTTTAGGTCTTGCCTACTCTGCAATACTACAGGACAAGATGCGAAAGCGTCGCACAGGCGACCCGCACCGCCAAGAGCCTACAAGAAAAAATCACAGCGGCAATGTTGGCGAAATATTGCTGTGTTGTAACTTTGCCTAATAAATAACATTTTAATTCTCCCATAAGAACAAAATTGAGTAATTACTGTTGTGACGGAAAACTTCGCCGTCCTTGCAGGTTTCCCCAGCGTGCAGCCGAAAGTGACCATGTTGCACTGCCCAAAGTGAGGGGGGGGGGTTCCGCCCCCCCTAACCTTTCTCACCAGGAGGTCTGTCACACCCCCCCGCTGATATGCCTATGTCTGTGATCGCGGTTTGCCTTTTTTCCTTGAAGTCGACACCCAGCACTTTTTGCTCTAACGTGCAAATTTGGCAGACGGCCTGTTCACCTTCTTCAAAACTTAAGAACAGACGGGCCGCATTTCAAATCAGCCATGACTTCTGCAGCAGAGGGCTGCACTGGTGCTTTGTCCTTTTCCTCATCATCGTCACTAGCAGCGACAGGTTCTGCACTTCTGACCTAACATATTTTGTCGTCATCCGTGAGTTCACTACACACCACTGCACTTGAGTCCACATTGATGTAGTCCGCAAAACAGACGTCTTCCAAAACGTCCAGCATGGGGGCGGTGACACTGTGTTCGAGCACTGGTGGCTTGACAACTTGCAGAGCTTCGGTGCTGAAGCCACAGTGGTGATAGCAATTTGCTATCGTAAGGGCTGTCGCTTGCTCCCAAGCACGCACAAGCATGCGTAGTGCACTTACCAGCGTCACTTGGTAGCTACTGCACAAAATAATTCATTCCAACATTTGACGCCGATAAAATAATTTTAAATTTCTAATTATACCCTGGGCCATGAGCTGCAGTACTGCTGGCATGTCAGCTGGAAAGAAGGCTGGCCCAATGTCTTTCGTCTCAACGTTGACATTATGAGCCAAACAGTTGTCCACAAGAAACGGGGCTTTGCGGCCACAGCATTCGAACCTCTTGTCAAGCTTCCCTAGCCGCTGCGCGAACAATTCCCCGTCATCCAGGCCTTTTTGTTGGCTGCGTAGTCTGATGGGAGGGACCGAATGTTCTTGAAGCAACGAGGACCTCTCGATTTGCCTATCACGAACAGCGGCAACTTCTCAATGCCGGTCATGTTCGCAGCCACCATCACAGTTATCCATTCTTTACTTTTTTTCCCCCCGTATGCACTTGTCGCCTTTATACGTAATAGTTTTGGCGGGCAGCGATTTAAAAAATGAGGTAATTCAAACCGCATTCAATATGTCCTGCAGAGAATACTTTTACATGTAGCCTTGAAGCACCTCGGAGCGCCAATCTTCAAACGCTTCCACGCTGACGGCGTTATTTCACCCGACACAGCCCGGAAGATGAAGTCATAGCGCTTGCAAGAATGGTCCAACCACCCATCTGAATTAGCAAAGTTGTCGTAGACCAGCTGCAGGGCGAAGTCCGCTGCCTTTGGCAGTATGACTGCGCCACTCAGAGTGTATGTCCTGCAAATGTATCTCTTTCATCCAATTGAGAAGTGCTTTCTCGAGGTCAGGATACTCGAGGGCTGCAACCTCCTTCTTTTGCTTGCAACTTCTGCCTGTAAGGTGTCTTCAATTGTCCTCTTAATTTTCACATAAGTAGATAGCGTCGCTTTAAATATATACACTTTTTCACAATTTTTTGCTTAGGCAGTAGTTCAATGTCCACTACCGGCAGGATATAAGCTTTCTCTTGAAGTGTTTTGGCATGGTATTTGTTGCGCGCACACGCTATTAAGTCATAGCAGCAGAAGCGTGACAAACGGAAGCTACTCCCGGCGCTACTGCAGCAAACGTTAGCCAAGACCTAACACCAACACAAAGAATCGCGACAGACGGAACCTACTCCCGGCGCTAACAACCGAGGCGTACGACATACGCCTGACACAGAGACTGCAGAGATAAAGGCTGGGCGAAGCTACGACGCACCCAATTTGCTATGTGCTGGTCATGCCATTTGTCGTTTAACAGCAATAGCTACGAAAGATTTGTAAAAGCTTTGAGATCGGCGCTTAAAAAAAAAAAACAAATCTTGGAGGTTACATAGGCCAGAAAGGAGGCAGCCGCCAAGAAAGAGAGAGATAATGGGGAGGAGGGGGGCGTTTGAAGAGTAAGAGGTGCTATTTTCTGCGCTCTGGCCTTTGCGCCAGCTTTTTTCTCCACTCCCTGTCAACACCGCATCGTTACTCGGCAGCTGCTCTATTGAGTGACTACCCAAGCTGCCAGCGCGGTAGCGTGTAGTTTGAATTATCAGTGGGGAAACCTACTCGCATTCGAATTAATGGGCTTTTTTA